TGAAAAGCTCAGAGCAGATGCTATTGTAGTCATTGCTCCCTCTTGCATTTAACTTGTATAGAATCATTCTCTTTCATACGTCCAACTGATGCATTTTAGGCTTCTTAAATTTTAGCTCAGAACCAAGTGATTAAAATGTTTATGAATTTCCTAATGGGGAAAATGTAGGATGCATTTATAGCCCAAATCCCCCTTTTTTGATTCAACACATGAAATGTATCGGTAAGGCAGCGTGGAACTCTTAATTTAACACACATGTTTGTCACAGCTGGCTTTGCTTCTCTCACAGGACCTTCAAATGTCTCACAATATACCCAACTGAGTGCAAAGTTTGTCAATCTTTCTTGGAAAGCGCCTGTACTGCTTGTTTGAACTTTGCAGAGTGCTTTCCACCTTAGTGTTTTTAAAGTGTGTTTGCACTCTTTTAGAAAGAGGCTAATTGGAACTGTGCATGGCCCCCAGATGTCTCCAGACCCCTCAGCATTCATTCATTCCCTCCTTCTAACACACATTCAGACCTGTGCACACTCACACTTGTTCACATGCTCACAGATCACCTCTCACAGATGTTTTTTTTTTCCCTTTCTGTTGCCCTTTTGTCTCCTTTTTTTTTCTCCTCTAAAAACACCTTTTCAAGCCATACAAAATGGCTGTAAACACAGTCTGTCAGCATGGATAGCGGAATGCCACAGAGGCTTACAAAGTCTGTTGATGCTCTGTGACAGACAGTCCTCCTTGTGTTTGACAGCTTTTTGGGCCCGGCTCCCTGGTTGCACTGTGGTGGTCTCTACGTGGCTTTGGTGATTTCCCATAAGGAAGATAAGGGGGATGGGTGGAAATGAATAAGAGATGCTAAGGTCTGGGTTTCAAGTCACTAAGTATGTTTGGGGGAGGGGATCTGTGAATGGAGAAAAACTCTACTGTAAACTTTTCATAAAAATAATGTGATTTTAACTTTTTACTATCCCACAGGCTTCGCAATGCTTATTTAGGAAGTGGAAAGCAATGTTTAGAACATAAAATGGCTCATAAACAGTTACTATCATAGTAACTTATTTTTTATTTTGTTTTTCATTGTGTGCGATACATGTACACTTGCACCTTAATCCTATTTATCTTGATATACTGTATATATATTGCTTATTCTTATTCTTAATGCACCTTTTTCCTCCCTCCGTAAAAATTCTAAAAATATCCACTGGACTTGGTTTTCAAGATTTGAAGACGTTTCGCCACCTCTCCAGGAAGCTTTCTCGATTCAAATGAAAGCTTCCTGGAGAGGTGGCGAAACGTCTTCAAATCTTGAAAACCAAGTCCAGTGGATATTTTTTGAATTTTCACGGAATGACCATGACCTGGATGACTGAGAACCTTCATCAACTTTTTCCTCCCTGTTTGCACCTTTTGTAACTTCTATGCCAATATGTGACGAGTGAATTTATCCGCTGTGAGATCAATAAAGCTCATCTAATCTAATCTAATCTACAGTAAATGGGCTCTTTTTATATATTTTTATATATCAAACAATGAATTGTTACGATTTAAAAAGTATTTTATTTGGCGATTTGTCTCAGTATGTCAAAAATCAATCTGAGGAGGAAATTCTCCATTATACAGACTCAAATCTAAACTTTAAAAAGGAATGAGGAAATAATGATTTATGTCTATTTATTTGTATAATTCCAACATTAAAACTTTCACCATCTCTATTCAATCTATTATTTGGAAATTGAAAATATGCAACTCCAAACCTACCGAATGTTGGCATCTTCTAGGAATTATTAACTAATGGATTAATCTATAGTTGATTGATTTTACAAAGACAAAATGCTTTTAACGCACAAAAGCCTCAGCCATTTAGTGTCCTTATTGCTACTGTAGCATGTCTCTTTCTTTCATGTAACTAAAGTTATGCTCCTTACTTTTTTGCAGCAGCCTCATTTTCCAAGCACAGAAGTGAATTTGCTCCTTAAATTTTCTGTTTTTTCTGTGATACTTTAAGGAGTTTATCGAGTGTTTATATTTACAAACCAACCCACATTAAGTTTATTTTGAATTCTTGTTATATTGTGTATTAATCTGGATCAATCTATGTTTCTGCTCTAGCATTCCTCTGCTTAGGCATTTCTTCTTTTGTAAATTGAGTGAGGCTGCACTTAGGAATGAATAAGGAGACCCTCTACACCGTCAACACCGAATAAAATTATTTTTAGCAGATGTTATCAATCAATCAGATATAATAAATTTTGATCTAATAAATCATTAATCTAACATTAATTATAAGTCAATTATTTGTTTGCATCCCTACCATCTACTTGAACTTTGAGGCTGTTAAAAGAAAACATTAATTATAGACAAAGAGGGTGACTTTGGGGGAACTGCAGAGTTTCAGAGCTCAGGTGGAGGAATCTATTGAGAGGAAAATACAATTTTCCCCCCCCTCCACTTATCTTGCATTTGTGAAAGTATGGTGAGAAAAAAGGAAAGCTGTACAATGATGTTTTAGGTTCCAGAAAGCTCTGGAGGAAACACAGCAGAAATTTGGAAGAAGTGTTTTCATCTAATAAGACTGACTGCATTCTTCCCCCCAACTTGTTACTGAAAATTCTGCATTCTGCACACATCAACTCTGCTGTTTATCTAGGTTATTAATCTGTGGATAAAACTTTTTTTGTCCAGTAGGAATGGGGGAACTGATGAGAGTTAATGGAAGGATGTATGGAGATGACATATAGGAAAATCCTTGTAGAGAAACTGTTAGAGACTACAAAATACTCCAGACTGAGGCAGAGGTTCTCATTATGGTAGAACAACAATCAGTTTCCAGTAATGACTACAACAAAATGGATTAGATAAAAGCATTTCAAACAGTTATACATCTTGAGTTCCCGTCGTAAAGCCAGATGAGAATCTATGCTAAGACAAAGATGCTATTTAGGAAGTCTGATTGTCCTTTGACTAAACTTGTGTTATTCTATTTATTGAATGAGACAGTGGCAAAAAAAAAAAAACTTCCATTACAGGAAACACTAGCAACTGCAATTGCATTAAACGGTTATACATTATATATATATATATATATATATATATATATATATATATATATATATATATATATATATATATATATATATATATATATATATATACACATCAGAGATTAGAATTTTTTTTTTTAAAAAGTGCAGTATGGGATGCATGCTTTTTTTCTTCCCTTCAATGCACTACTTTGTGTTTATCTATTATGTGAAATCCTGGTCATATTGTAACATTAAATGACATCGTGGAATAGAAAAGAAGTTTACAAGCCTTTGGAAGGGACTCTATTTTGTGTTTTCTTTTTGTTGATGCTCAGCTAGCAATGACATGCATTTATTGTCTTTTTTTACTGTGTGGAATAACGCTTCTTCACATTCTTGTCAGCGCCATTTGATAAATTACTGTTCCAAATCTAGATAGAAAATGCTACAACAAAATGATCACTTGATGTTAGCATTTCCTGTTGGCTCAGACTTAAGGACTGGGCCAAAAATTGTGAAAACAAATCTTGACGTTGTAAACATTTGCAACTCGTGCAACCCCTAACACCTGTCTGTGAATGTGCACAGATGTAACACACAACCATTAAAATCTCTGGTTTTTAAGAAAAGTGAAAACCAAGTGTTCAAGGAAGATGCAGCAGTGACAGGTTTTGTAGAAATATTTGGTGATTCTCTTTGCAATCATTCATAATTGATTTCATTTCAAAGTCAAAACTGTTTATATTTCTAATGAAACATACATCCAATATCTCCTACATTCGATATCCCAAAGTAGATATGTTGACATGTTTCCATTTCTCTTTTTGATTTACATTATTGAAATTAGAGATGCAAAGATCAAATGCTAATTTCTGATCTCCCAGTCTTCCTAACTTACTTTTGGAGTGCATAGGTGAAAAAAATCCATTTTACAAACGGTATTCCTCATAAACAACAAATGTGATTACTTGAAAAAGCCGATAAATTTCCTAACCTTACTGTAAACATTTCCTTAGCCAATCTGTTTGATCAAAGAGGTTGAATTCTCAAACTAATAAAGCAAGTTGTCTTCATGCTTCAGCCTTCCTGTTACCTGCTTTAAGTTTAAGTCTTTCTTGATCTGTAGAAGGCCTGAGCTTCACTTATCATAAGTATACCTGACTTCTTCATGGCATGATAACATCCACATTGAGGAGCACTATTGCCCTTAGAAATCACTCTTACATATAGTGAATTCACTGTATGCAAACAATATTTTCCAACTGGCTGAATATTGATGCACAGACATGTTCAGATGCTCTCTGAGGTGATTTGGTGCATTTTAAAAATATTAATACTGCAGAATGAAAGAAAAAAATACTAATTGCATACCATCTGGCAAGGATTAAGTTCAGACAGTGTGTCTCGCTTATAAGCATTTTCTTAGGTATGATGTCATATCCTAGGAATAAATGTTATATGTAAAACAGGTACCAGTGCTCTTTCACTTTATGGCTATCAGTTTAGTTACTTTTACTGAGCAGGATAAGGTAGTTGCTTATGTTGAGCTAGTAATACATTTTGTCCCCCTTGTTATCAAATCTCCAGAGTTTCCTTATCACAGTGCCACTGCCCACCACCTGTGTGTGCAGGCGGCGGGTTACGTACCCAGACAGACGCCGTCTTATCCTGCATTCTTTCAGCAAACAGGACCCCCTGATATCTGAGTCATTCAGGGGGGAATTTAGTTACACACAAAGGAAAACGCGTCTGCCGTAGACTTAATGTCAGGGCAGCCTTAGTCCTTTTAGATCTAAATTGGATACATTTTAGGAAATGGCTAAAGGATGATTTGTGGTAAAGTATTATTTTTAGTCTGTATTTAGATGATATTGAAGTGGTGCCGAGGACTGGCACCTCTTCTCTGTTGGTGTTCCTTATTGCAACATTCCCCTCCACAGTTGTTGACACAATTGCCTGTGCGTTTGTTTTTACATGCAGTATTGCAAACATGGGATGTGTATCAACAAGGAGTTGGACATGCAGGCTGTGAACGGAGAGTGGGGTCCTTGGGGGCCCTACAGTGTTTGCTCCAGGTCCTGTGGTGGTGGGACAAGGAGCACTACCAGAGATTGCAACAAACCTGAGTAAGTAAGAAAGACATGGCTGCATTATATATATATATATATATATATATATATACACTATATTGCCAAAAGTATTTGCTCACCCATCCAAATTATTGGAATCAGGTGTTCCAATCACTTCCATGGCCACAGGTGTATAAATTCAAGCACCTAGGCATGCAGACTGTTTTTACAAACATTTGTGAAAGAATGGGTCGCTCTCAGGAGCTCAGTGAATTCCAGCGTGGAACTGTGATAGGATGCCACCTGTGCAACAAATCCAGTCGTGAAATTTCCTCGCTCCTAAATATTCCACAGTCAACTGTCAGCTGTATTATAAGAAAATGGAAGTGTTTGGGAACGACAGCAACTCAGCCACGAAGTGGTAGGCCACGTAAACTGACGGAGCGGGGTCAGCGGATGCTGACGCGCATAGTGCGAAGAGGTCGCCAACTTTCTGCAGAGTCAATCACTACAGACCTCCAAACTTCATGTGGCCTTCAGATTAGCTCAAGAACAGTGCGCAGAGAGCTTCATGGAATGGGTTTCCATGGTCGAGCAGCTGCATCCAAGCCATACATCACCAAGTGCAATGCAAAGCGTCGGATGCGGTGGTGTAAAGCACGCCGCCACTGGACTCTAGAGCAGTGGAGACGCGTTCTCTGGAGTGACGAATCGCGCTTCTCCATCTGGCAATCTGATGGACGGGTCTGGGTTTGGCGGTTGCCAGGAGAACGGTACTTGTCTGACTGCATTGTGCCAAGTGTAAAGTTTGGTGGAGGGGGGATTATGGTGTGAGGTTGTTTTTCAGGAGCTGGGCTTGGCCCCTTAGTTCCAGTGAAAGGAACTCTGAATGCTTCAGCATACCAAGACATTTTGGACAATTCCATGCTCCCAACTTTGTGGGAACAGTTTGGAGCTGGCCCCTTCCTCTTCCAACATGACTGTGCACCAGTGCACAAAGCAAGGTCCATAAAGACATGGATGACAGAGTCTGGTGTGGATGAACTTGACTGGCCTGCACAGAGTCCTGACCTCAACCCGATAGAACACCTTTGGGATGAATTAGAGCGGAGACTGAGAGCCAGGCCTTCTCGTCCAACATCAGTGTGCGACCTCACAAATGCGCTTCTGGAAGAATGGTCAAAAATTCCCATAAACACACTCCTAAACCTTGTGGACAGCCTTCCCAGAAGAGTTGAAGCTGTTCTAGCTGCAAAGGGTGGACCGACGTCATATTGAACCCTATGGATTAGGAACGGGATGTCACTTAAGCTCATATGTGAGTCAAGGCAGGTGAGCAAATACTTTTGGCAATATAGTGTATATATATATATATATAAACAAAGAAAAAGCTACCATGGGTTCCTCGATCTTAATCTTCTGCTTGTAGGCCAAGAAATGGTGGGAGATTCTGCGTGGGCCGCAGGATGAAGTTCCGCTCCTGCAACACTGAGCCATGTCCACGAGGAAAGAAGGATTTCCGAGAAGAGCAATGTTCTCAATTTGACGGCAAGCACTTTAATATCAACGGTCTACCTCCCTCTGTCAGATGGGTCCCAAAGTACAGCGGCAGTAAGTAAACACACAGGTGTAGAACAAATGTCGCAGTACTTAAAAGTAACATAAAGTAACAAAACAAAATTGACATATCTAATTTTGGTAAGCATGAACATATTTACTGTTTAAAGCTCAAAATTACAGAATTTGGCCCCATGGACCTCATAGATAGCCTTGTGAGACCATCCTGATCTCGCGAGCTTTCAAGGTTTCACTCGCAGATCAGTCTGGAGGCTCTCTGTTAAAGAAAATTTGGAGCCGTTCACTAAACTAACGTCCAATCAGCGTTGGCTTTGAGGCGGGTTGAGGTGTGACGCAACGAGAAGCATGACAGTTCAGTCTAAAGAACATGGCGGCTTCAGCCGATGAAACTAGCGTTAGCTTGGCTATCGACCAAGTTTTATCGGAATTACAGAGTATTTCTTCACTGAAAGAAGAGCAAAACACTGCTCTGGAGGCTTTTCTCAGAGGAAAAGATGTTTTTGCTCTTCTCCCGACTGGTTTCGGCAAGTTTTTGTTCTGTCAATTGCCTCCTCTTCGTCGTCGCTATGTTGGTACGTCATATGCTTCTTTGATCTGATTGGTTTATTTGGCCCGTCTATCACCAACATAGGCCAATCAGCTAACCAGTATTTTCGCCCCTTCCCAAAATTACTTCAACGGAAGATTTCCAGATGGATATGGGGAGCAAATCCATCTGGCGGAGTCAGGTTACCTCATAGATGCTTCAAGCATAAACCAAGCTTTAAGTATACAAATTTGTTACTTCGAAACAGGTAGAATCTTCTTATCCAAATCCCCCAAAATTTAGAAACACACCGACAAGCATTTAAGCTTGATTAAAGAATGAACTGTACTAACCGCTGACATTGCTCTTTTTCAATTCAATTCAATTCAGTTTATTTATATAGCGCCAAATTCACAACACATGTCATCTCAAGGCACTTTACAGTTCAACCAGATCATACAGTCAAATTGATACAAAGTTTTCTATCTAAGGAAAACCAGTTGATTGCATTGACTCATTGACTCAAATACAATCCCTCACACTAAGCATGCTTGTAGCGACAGTGGAGAGGAAAAACTCCCTTTTAACAGGAAGAAACCTCCAGCAGAACCAGGCTTAGTGTGAGCGGCCATCTGCCAAGGCCGACTGGGGTTCAAGGAGACAGAAGCAGAGATACAAGCAGCTGTAAAAGGCGGCCCCGTCCAGGAAACACACAGCCAGGCAGACGAGCTCCAAGGCAGCTCCCATGCCAGAGGATGAAGAGAGCACATCCACCCAGCCACGGCCAGAGAAACAGGACCACACCTGAAGACAGGCCGATCTCCAACATCTACAAACAAGGGTGTTGATGGAAGCAGCACAGCTGATGTTTCTTTCCTGGATGACGTCACAGCCAAACAGGAACAGACGAGGCAAAGCTACTCTGAGGAAAAGCAGAGAGAGCAGAAGGTTAGAGATTGAACAAACAGATTCTGCAGAATAGGAGAACAGAGAGAGAATGAAGCAGAATGATGAAATGGGGGTCCCTATGTCCTCCAAAAGTCTAAGCCTATAGCAGCATAAATATAGAGAGAGAGCTCAGGATAACCTGAGCCACCCTAACTATAAGCTTTATCAAAAAGGAAAGTTTTAAGCCTAGTCTTAAAAGTAGACAGAGTGTCTGCCTCACGGACTAAAACTGGTAGTTGGTTCCACAGGAGAGGAGCCTGATAACTAAAAGATCTGCCTCCCATTCTACTTTTAGAAATTCTAGGAACCACTAGTAAACCTGCAGATTGAGAGCGAAGTGCTCTGTTAGGAACATAAGGAACAATCAGATCTCTGATATAAGATGGAGCTTGGCCATTTAAGGCTTTATATGTGAGAAGGAGGATTTTAAATTCTATTCTTGATTTAACAGGAAGCCAATGAAGAGAAGCCAGGATAGGAGAGATATGATCTCTCTTTTTAATTTTCATTAGAACTCTGGCTGCAGCATTTTGGATCAGCTGAAGGCTTTTAACACAGTTTGTGGACTTCCTGATAGTAAAGAATTACAATAGTCCAGCCTTGAAGTAACAAATGCATGGACTAGTTTCTCAGCATCACCCCTGGACAGGAGATTTCTAATTTTTGCAATGTTCCTCAGATGAAAGAAGGAAATTCTAGAAACCTCTTTGATCTGGGATTTAAATGACAGGTCCTGATCAAAAATAACACCAAGATTTTTTACTTTATTATCTGAAATCAGTTTAATCCCATCCAAATGAAGTGACTGGCTAATCAGCTTCTTTTTCAGAGACTCTGGTCCAAAGACTATAACTTCTGTTTTGTCTGCATTCAGAAGCAGAAAGTTAAGAGTCATCCAGGTTTTTATGTCTTCAAGACATGCTTGTAATCTATGTAATGGGTTAGCTTCATCTGGATTTATAGACAGATATAGCTGGGTATCATCAGCATAACAGTGGAAATTAATCCCATGCTGTCTAATAACTCTACCAATTGGGAGCATGTATAAAGTAAAGAGAATTGGTCCTAGCACTGATCCCTGTGGTACTCCACAGGTAACCTTTGAGTGTGTTGAAGATCTATCATTAACATAAACAAACTGAATTCGATCAGATAGATAGGATTTAAACCAGTCTAGTGCTGTTCCTTTAATTCCAACAAAATATTCAAGTCTTTCTAAAAGAATATTATGGTCAACTGTATCAAATGCAGCACTAAGATCCAACAGGACGAGCACAGATACAAGTCCATTATCTGAGGCCATGAGAATATCATTAGTGACTTTCACCAGAGCTGTTTCAGTGCTATGATGAGCTCTAAAGCCAGACTGAAACTCTTCAAAAAGTTCATTATGGTGTAAGTGGTCGCAAACTTGTTTGGCAACTACTTTCTCAAGAATTTTGGATAAGAAAGGAAGATTGGATATAGGTCTATAATTAACCAAGTCATCTGGGTCAAGAGACGGTTTCTTAAGCAGAGGTTTAATTACAGCAACCTTAAAAGCTTTAGGTACATATCCCTGTAACAGAGATAGATTAATCACATCTAAAATGGAGGAGGAGATCAAAGGGAATACCTCCTTAAATAACCTGGTTGGAACTGGATCTAACATACAAGTTGAAGGCCTAGATGAAGACAATAATTTTGCTAATTCAGAAAGTTCAACTGGATCAAAGCAGTCTAAACCCGGTTCAGATTCCATGACTACCTCAGGTACAATCGCGGATAGAGGAGTGCTTATGATCTTATTTTTAATAAGATCAATCTTATTTATAAAGAATCCCATAAAATCATTGCTGTTAAGAGCAGGTGGAATGGACGGTTCAACAGAGCTATGGCTCTGGGTGAGTTTGGCAACTGTATTAAAAAGAAATCTAGGATTATTCTTATTCTCCTCTATTAATGAGGAGAAGTATGCTGCTCTTGCTTTACAAAGGGCCCTCTTATACAGCAGTAAACCATTTTTCCAGACTAGGAAGGACTCCTGCAGGCCTGTGGAGCGATATTTTCTCTCCAGTTTCCTAGCATTTTGCTTCAAAGTACGCAGCTCTGCATTAAACCAAGGAGCAAGCTTTCTATTTTTAACGGTTTTCATTTTCAAAGGAGCTGCGTTGTCTAAGGCAGTACGCAGAGAACTAGCAACCCCATCAACAAAATCATCAACCTGTGAAGGGGAATAAGCTATACTTTTGCACTCTGCAGCACTGCTCAGCGACACAGAGGAGAGAGAAAGTGAAGCCGCTTCTTTAAAATTTATAACTGCACTATCTGATAAAGATCTACTAAAATTGAACCTTCTTTTGGGGGAGGAGAACTCTGTTAAAGTAATCCTGAAGGTTATTAGAAAGTGGTCAGAGAGGACAGGGTTGTGAGGAAATACTGTTATTTCTTCACATTCTATGCCGTATGTCAGCACAAGATCCAAAGTATGAAGATGAGAATGTGTGGGACTATTCACATTTTGAACAAAGCCAATAGTGTCTAAGATAGCATTAAAGGCTGCTCTTAAGCTATCGGCTTCAATTCTTTTAAGGATCTGCTACACATTATGAGCTTTAAATCACTTTATAGTCTGGACACGTCACTAGTTCCAGGATCTGCAGTGCAAGAATTGGGAGAAAATTTTAAGTCGGTGTCAGAAAATGCTGTAAAAGCCACATGCAGCCCCATCCAAAGAAACCCCCAGCAACATGCAGCTGCAACTTGACTAGATGGACAACCCATAGGATTACCATCTGGTAAATTTACTGCGGTTGATTCACTCATCTAATTGATGCTCTACAAGCAAACAAGGCAAACTCTGGAGACAATGTTCTGTCAGACAAAATTGGCTTTCATCCAAGCACCAAACCATCATTTGGCTTCAATGCTTTGCTGACATTTGCAAAAAAAGAAAAAAAAAGTTTTACAAATTTCTAATGGCATACAAGTCATGTCTAAGTCTTTATTATGGCATTAGTTTAGAATCAGCATTTCTGTCCTTTTTTTTGTTTCGTTCTCATTCAGTACTGATGAAGGATCGCTGTAAGCTTTTTTGCCGGGTTGCTGGCACCATGGCTTACTATCAGCTGAAGGACCGTGTGGTGGACGGCACTCCGTGTGGTCCAGACACTTACGACATCTGCGTTCAAGGCCTCTGCAGAGTATGTCTACATGTTTATTTTTCCTCTTTAACACATTTTACATTTTCAGACATAAACACAAGCTTAAATATTCCTAACAAGTATCATAGCTGCAGGGAAGCCAACACTTGCAATCTTAACATGCTTTTAGATCTGATATGCATCTTTTTAGCTACACTTTTCTTGGTTACCATTCTGCACTGATCAGAGGTTTGTGGTTGTTTTTTTGGACACTCTTTTTTCTTTAAAAACTATCCAACATTTAAATATATAATGTACATATGGGGGACATATATAATGTAGCCTAGGGGAAAGAACATGTTTTTATCCTTATTTTGAAGCCAAGTCAAAATGATTATACTGTAGTTTATCAAATTAAGCATGGAACATTAGTATATGTAAACATCAATGTTCCATTTTACAAAAGTTGAAAGTTTAAAGGGGTAGAATATGATGGATTTGCTGCAATTTAATCAGCATTGCTTTTACTTGCCAAATTTCAGATTTTTGAGTTTTAAAAATTCTGTCCAAAAGGTCTGCTTTCATTCAGAAGAATGTTTCTTATTGTTTCTCTTGTCTTTCCAAGGTTCAGGTTGTTTGGTGTCTTATAATGGCCTTTTTTCATAATTTTTTCAACTAGTAACACAAATCTGGAACTGGTTACAATTCACTGTGATGAAAACAGGAAGGGGGGAGTTTTGCTAGTCAAAGCTTACATATTACATTTATAAATTTGACTTACTTTGTATATGACCACTACACCAAACTGTGATTACGCAGCTTACCCTACCCTCAAACCTTTGCTTGCTTGTACCTTCAGTTTGATGTCATTCATGACTTTCCTCCCTCTTCCCTGCTTTTACGGACAGCTTTGGTGTGATGCCGACAGTCTTTTCTGGCTCTCATTTTTTTCGCTGTAATTTAACAAAAGCCAAAGACTGTACAGAGATCTATGGCTTTGTTTGGTTTTGTTTGTGTCACTAAAAATCACATCACATTATTAGTATTTTCGTTTTTTGAATTGTGAGGGCGCCTTGCTATGATTATCTCTCCCATATTTAATAGTACTCAGTTGCAATGGAAATTAACCAAATTATATTAAACAGAGCTGACCCGAGAAAAGTTAAGTAGAATAGGTACTAAAGGAAAAGGGGCATATATATATATATATATATATATATATATATATATATATATATATATATATATATATATATATATATATATATATAATTTTTTTGTGAAAATGCTATGAAGTGTAAGATTCATATTATCTTGCATTGTGGCTTTTTAGCAAGCAGGCTGCGACCATGTTCTCAACTCAAAGGCAAGGAATGACAAGTGTGGAGTGTGTGGTGGGGACAACTCCTCATGTAAAACCCTGGCAGGGACATTCAACCACGCCCAGTATGGTAAGTCCTACTGCTGAATTTACTATCTCCATTTAAGCTTTCTGTGTTGCACTTAAAGATATATGGAGTCAGCAACATCAGCCAGAACAACATGAAGCACAGTAAATAGTCTTGACAGCACAGGCCACATTGTTGTGTCAGGCACTGTACGCATGTCTGGTTATATTTATTTAGAGCACATGCTTTGAGGCTTTTGACAAATTTTAAAAATGCACAATTAAAGCCAATATAGTCCAGAAACTGATGAGCCAATGTGTCTTTAGTTTCAATGGCAAACAAACCTGACATCCTCTACTTGGAAATGTCTAGCTTAATGGTGTGTTTCAGTATGGGCCAACTTCTAACATCATCCAATTCTTTCTATGTCTGGGCAACAACACAGCTGAACCATTAGCAAACAAAAAACAGCCCAGGGTGGGGCTTTCCACTTGTTTACTCTTGCAAGTTGGACACTAAGCATTTGCATCTCTATCCGTCAGCTTTCTTTCTGCTCTCTGTTTGCTGCTTGGAGGCAACAAGTTTTGAGGACAGTATTCAGCCAAACCAGCCACTGACGTCAGTCCTGGAAATCTGGCTTAACTTTAAGAAGGGGAAAACAAGTGGGAGTGCAGCCCAGGCAGGATATCCCTCTGTTTCTGGATCTTGGCTTGTCTCATCTACCCCTTTTGTTCCTTTTGTTAGATACCTCTTAAAGCCTTATTTGAGAACTATTAACCTTTCTGTATTTGGTCCCAGTATCTCTGTTCTTTGTCTTAAAAACATGTAATTTTTCAAAATAATCATTGCTTGATGATAAGTCAGGAGTTTAACATTATTTACCCAACCCTCCTCAGAGCGTTCCTGCAATTAAGTTTGGTATTTTAGTTAAAGAGTTTTCACCAGTGACTTACTTCATCTAACAATTCCTGTGATTTCAAGTGTTTTTTACTGAGTTGAGGGAGATTTTTTTTCTAGATCTATGGAGCATAGAATACACAACAGCTTCCATTGCCTCATTTCATTAGTAGCATATTTGTTTTGCCAATAAAATAGCAGAAAATGATCATTTTCTCTTTTGATTGCCAAAAAACTACTGTCTGTTTTAAATAATTTCTAGTTGAAAGAAGCACAGATGAATTAACCTTTAAGCCATTTTTTCAATTTTTCCCTATGATCTACACTAGGGGTGGAACGATTCACAAAATCCACGGTTCGGTTCGATTCACGGTTTCTGGTCACGGTTTTCGGTTCGATTAGATACATGTTGATTGTTACACCGAAATTCCATAAAAAATTATGAAATTAATGAAAAAATCCCCCCAAAAATAATGGATTGTAATTATTTTAAATGATCCGCGGAAACCCTGGATCATTTCCGTATGTTTTGCTGCTTTGAATTTAATCATCTGGCACATGCTCTCTAACCTGACAACAGCCGGATGCATGTCTCGCTCAGCCACATGCATCTGGCTGTTGTCAGGTTACATGCTCTCTACCATCTCCAAGGAACTCAGAGGGGAGCGGACGAAGCCACAGCGGGGGCTGTAGGCTTTGCTTTGAGCAGCCGGTCTGGAGCGCAGCGGGGGTTGCTGACCGAGTATGAGGGATTTCGGGGTTAGCATGACATGTTGCTGTTAGCATAAACAAAACGTGTTGCACAATGCTTGCACACTGTTGCACTTTTATCCACAACTTTCTTTGCGCTGTCATCGTATGTCACTCTAAATGCAAAGCGCTCCCATACAGCAGACCTATAAAGTGCTGCTGGCGCGTCTTCCAACTCCAGTTCTTTCCCACTCGTCATACCCACACATTTCTCCACAACAACTGATTTTTTCCCCTGCTACATCCGGCTAAGCTGCTTCGCTTCTTCTTCTTCTTGTTTACTACTGGCGGTTGGCTTTGGTCGCAGTACCGCCACCTTCTGCTCTGGAGTGTAATCGCTTCCTCTATGAGAAAAAGGAGCAGCGCATGAACCGAACGAAACACACGCGAACCAAACCGAGACAGTCGAACCGAACGATTCTGACGGTTTTCATAAATCGTCCCATCCCTAATCTACACTTATTATAAATGTAATCACAATGGGAAAAAAATGAAAAAAGTGAAACAAGTTACCTTCATGAATTTTAATATGGGAATGCAGAATGTGTTTTGGCATAGTACAACACGACACATCATATAATCATTCTGCGTCCAGTTAATGTGAGATATATGTTGATCAGTTGAATCTTGTGTTGGATATAGTACTTTACTTTGGTGCATATAATTCTGCTATAAGCTCCTGAAAACTACAGCTAAATTTAGCTCCCATAATTAGTAAGGTTATAGAATACATTTTTTATCTTCTATAAATATTGTTTTAAAATACTTATTTATATATATATATATATATATATATATATATATATATATATATATATATATATATATATATATATATATATATATTGGTATTCTCAACTTTTGTTTTAAACCTTTTGTTCATATTGTTAAGTAGATGTGTAATTTTAAACATGGCCCATGCCCACTGCTTACCAATTTTTAAAAATACTTTTTGATATCATGTTACAATATTCTGAAACACCCCCCACCACCACCGACCAATAGGCTGTGGTAACATTTTCATTGCTGTATTACTCTGTGGTGCAAAGAAATCTTTTTGTGGTGAGTTAAGCTTTCGTGATTATAGGCCACCAGTGGCTTATTAAAGTCAGTGAAGGTCAAAGCGGTTTTAGAGGAAATGTGACTTAACCAATAAAATAACAATAAAAACAAACAGACATGCAAAACAAGGAGTAAAATAATATGGTGTTTATTTTATGAAGAAAACAGGAGTCTATTAAAAGGTTTCAAGTTTTCTGGGAATATTTTCACATCTGATGAGGTGTAGATAAGTAAACTGAGTGCTGCCCCCGAGTGGCTTAAGGTGTTAGCTTTGCCTTTATACCCTAAGATGACTTCATTCTGACTTATTCTCCAAACTTATTCATTTAAAATGTTAAGTTAAAACATCACGGATGAACATAAATTACCTTCTTAAACATCTTCAGTTCCATAAATAGATAAATATACACAAGGGTTATTTCTGATTAAAGAGGGGGCCAGAGAAGCCAATTTATTGCTAAACCACAAAGCTTAGCATATGAATGCTAAAAAAATACAATATATGCTGTTCTGTCTGGGTGATTTTTGGTTGTGAGTCCCCCCCACCCCCCACCTCAAGAACCACATATGTTTATGCTTACTATCCCCATTATTTTTGTCCCTGTTGAATTTGTATCATATTCATGTATTTCCCCTTCGTTTTATCAACTCCTCATACCTTCATTTGAGTTGTCACCACTTTGATTTTGGCGACATCCTCTCTCTCTCACATACTCCCTATTTTCTGCATTATCTCAAAACAGCACAACAGGAGCTGTAATTACAGGCCAAAAAGGAAAGGCCAGGGAATAATTACCGATCATTTCATGATCACAACTGTGGGACTGAAAACAAGGCCTCCTGCATGCTATTAGAGATGACGACAGTTTTCATATTTCTCCCAGTGTGAAATTTAAATCCCCAGTGGAGAGAACTGGTCTTCCCTGAATGGAGTTTATTGTAACATAGTAAAGCTATTATGGTAATCAAAGCTGGATGTTGTTTCAACTATTTTGTTCCCTTCTGGTATTATTTAAAATATAGTATGAGCTTTCCATGTTTAGTATCTGACATTGTTCTGAAAGTTTCGTTACTTTTTAAAAATTTTTTTTTTTATTTGTAGGGTACAACACAATTGTGAGGATCCCAGCCGGAGCCACTAACATTGATATCAAACAGGTTAGCTACTCGGGAAAACCAGAAGATGACAACTACCTCGGTGAGTGGGCTTTATATGTTTCTGTAAAATTTTAATATATGACACATGAAAATTCAAAATATGGCGTTAAGCTGATAATTTCTAATCTTCTTAACGCCATATATGAAAGTTTGTCTGAAACTAAAATTTGATTACCGGTACCTAAAGCTTAAGAGCTGTAAGGGACACTGCATTTTCACGGGTCAAAGTAATTTTTCTTTCTATGCCCATTTATTAAAACGTATGACTTATAGATTGAGAAGTTATCAGCAAGGGAATGAACAAGAGAATAAGCTGGTGTCCAGCCATTTTGAAAAATGAGCAAGTTTCAACGCGTTGAGAGTATATAGCGGAAACGAGGGGGGGTGTTTGTCCATCTGGTTTGGTTGAGTTTTTTTTAGCGTAGCAAATGGATTGTCAGCCATGTGAAAGATAAATGAGGCATTAATAAGTGCTATTTAAAGGCATGTGCAAGCCAAGCAGGAAAGCAGGGGTATAGGTCAACATTGGCTGTGTGTGTGTGTTGGCTTTTGAGCTAGACACGAAGAAAAATTAGCTAAAAAAAAAAAACACAACAACAACAAATAAACAGACAAAAAAATTAGAACTTGTAATCTTAAAGACAGTCTTGAAATCTGTGCATATATATTTGCTGATTTATCAGATAACCTATCTGACTGTCAAGGCTCAGAACAGGGAATCCAGTATTCAGACAAAGAGACAGTATGATATTTCATTTTGATGGATCTGCAGTGAGCAAATCTAAGGCAGGAATAGAATAGAATCCAACTTTATTGTCATTCCACTGTCATAAGTACAGAGCAACGGATTTAAAAATTAATTCGCTGCTTTTAACCCATCCCCTTGGGGAGCAGTGTAGGGTTAAGGGTCTTGCTCAGGGACCCAGAGTGGAAGTCTGTGGGAGTGGGGGATTGAACTCACAACCTCAAGATTCAAAGCACTATGGCCTAACCACTAGGCCGCCACTCCGCAAACAGGAACCTCTGAATTCAGGAAACACAGGTTTAGTGATCATGTAAATCTGGTAGAGGAAGATTATGAATATGCAAGTCACTAACCTGGTCTTAAAGTTCAGTCCGTGCCCAGAGGAGGATGTTTATTCCAGCCAGTGGGCTGTCAGCAAGTTGCGGCGAACGCTGACCAGAGAGCCTCAGACGTTGAAGTCCCAAAGACAAAAAAACAGGCAGGAGATCTGATCTAGGCAGAGGGCGAAGCCAAAGCTGTTATCTAGGAGAGTCACAGGAGTCTAGGTCAGAAGACCAGAGATTCGAAGAGGTACCAAAGGGTAATCCAGGAGGGTGTCAGGAATCAGATCCAGGTTCGGTCAACAGGCAGAATCCAGCAGGAGTCCAAAGACAGGTCAGGCAAACGGATCAGAACAGGAACAGGCAGGCTCAGAGGTCCAACGGCATAACGGGTCAGGATAAGGCAATCAGAAAACAGTAATACTCGCTAGAAAACTCTCTCTAAAGGCTCGAATAATCTGGCATTGATGACTGAAATAGAGACTGAAGCAGGTGACACAGATGAGTGTTAAAGATAAACTGGGCTGAGCCAGACATGATGAATAAAATGAACACTCAAGCCAGTCATCAGCACCAAGATCATGACACTGACAGAACTTTATGTACAGTTATCTATTTATAGGGTCTGGCTTAGCTATATCTGACTGCCAAAAAGGCACATTTAGTGATGCAATGACTTTCGTAGTGAGCCCGTCATAAGTGGGATTATCCAGAGGATGCCAAAGTATACCTATTGATATTATAAGGGTTATTTATTTATTTATTCATTCATTTTTTGATAGATATACTGTAATTCTAAAAATGTGCTTATGTTCTCTAAAAAACACCTGAGAAAATAGCTGAACTAGGCTATAGACTATTTTTATAGTCATTTGGTGCTGAACAAAAAATTATGGAAATATATATATCTTGATAGGAATGTATCATATATGTTCACACACAATTACTCACTTGTGATGGTTGATCTAATGCTATATTGGTATTTCGACAGAGGGGCAACAGTGCCCTGCAACTGGGTTGCCGGCTAAAGCTCCAACTTTCAGTTGTTGTGTCCTTGGGCAAGATATCTCACCCGAATCGCCTGCTGGTGGTGGTCAGAAGGCCCGGTGGCGCCTCTGTCTGTGAGCCCCATGGCAGCTATGGTTATAACGTAGTTTGCCACTGTCACTTTGTGATTATGTGTGTGATGGATTGGTGGAACTGAATCAGATGGAGAAGTGGCTCAAACCAGCAACCCACTGTTTGTAGGACAAATGTCAGGAAAAGTTTTCTTCATGACTAATATATATTTTCTGACTTTGCTTTTGAAACTTTATCAACTCAGTTTTGAAACCCAGATTCAATAAAACTATTTCTATATATATATATATAAAAAAGTTGAGTATAACTTGGAATGCCAGATTGAAATGTTTTAATGTTTCTTATCAGAAGTTAATAATGCAGTAATTTTTCAGTGCCTAGTTAGTATTCTATGTACATAAAACAATGCATGTTTCTTAATTGAGGCTCACCATTTATATCATATTGACTAGTGTTCTACTCTCTTTCTTGTGTTTTTAAAATTCTAAGACAAAACCAAGAAATGTTTGTATGTAAAACAATGAGATTTTACACCATGTATACATTTGAAAGCAGTTAGACCACTTTTGTCTTTGAAAACGTTTTTTTTATGTAGAAAATAGACTTTCACATCTGGTGCTTGTCAGGCATTAAGAGAAAGTACAGTTGTTTATATATATAACATGCACACTATGTATGTGATTATGTGTTTGTTAATGTTTTAAGGCACATTCTTCGTCTATATTAGCCGTGACACGTAGAGATCACAATCAGTCATAATTGGTTAGCTGGCACCCAGCAATATGTGAGGTTAAGTGTAAACAATGTTTTATCAGCAAGATTAATCACATACATTTATTTTGTCGAGCAACAATTAGATCGGAATGAAGTCCACGTTTCTTGGGAAACATATACTTGAACTTAAAGGATTTAATGGTAGAGTAGTCGGTGGCGTTTATTTCCATGCTTAAATTTTTTATTGTATTTTTACCATTCTTTTAAGAGAGTCATTACTAAGACTCTGAGTAACTCATTTGTAATGCCAACTATTGTTTTTAATGTTCTATCTTGGCCTGTAACAAAAGCTCTGGAAAAACATTTAAGGATAAAAATACTTGCTTCACTTATAGTTTCTTATAAATGTGAGCATATTCCTTTAAGTGTTTTTTTAAATATATATTTGTCATGGTGAAACAACAAGTTTAATGCATTAAAGTAAACTAAAAGTAACCTTTTCAGCTCAAATGATAGTCAACAAAGCAGTAGCTAATTTAAGAAAAATAAGCAGAAATCTAGTTTCTGTAAATCTATTTGACATTACCCTAAAAACTTCAGGTCTACCTGAAGGGAAGTGTCTATAATGGGGGTTTAAAAGAGTCACATTAATTTTATTCTTTGTGAAATTTTTTTAAAATCATCAATAATAGCTCCCACTCTGGTGATGGATGCGTGACATATGAAAGGATTTTTGCCGGTGTTTTATCTGTTGTGGACATTTATTATGATCCGTTATTGTGGCAAATGTAACCTTTTTTTTTTTTTTTTTTACACAACTTATTAACATCTCTAAGGCTAAAATAAGACTTTGACTAATACAAGCCTTATGTTTCATCAATTATCATGGGCAATGTAGAGATACTTGGAGATATTTAGGAAATAGGTTAAAAGAACTCTAATCCTTAGCAAGACTGCAGGCAGAATATCAGCAATGCTGTTTTTAGTTTTTTTTTGTTTACCAAAATGTAGCTGGAGAATCATATCCCTGACAGTGTCTCTCTGTCAGGCTTTCTGACCCATAAGAACCGATTTAATGAAGACTGGAAAACTTAAGGGAGCTGGGTTGGCAGTGCTTGTTAACAACAGATGATTGCATCCACGACATGTTATTGTCAAGATTTGCCTCTCCAACCCAGATACTATTCTGTTGGCACTTGGTTTTCATCCATATTATTTGCCCATGTAGGTTACCAGTATTCTGTTGATAACCATTTAGATTCCACTTTCAGCTGTTGCTGACACTGGATGTAATGCATTAGTTGCATTGTTGCCAAGCTACAGACACCACAGCCAAATTATTTGTGGCAATAACTGGTTATTTTAATCCCACCTAGCACTCTTAACACTGCCAATATTTCAAATATTTGTCAGCTGCTGTATTAGAAAAAACAAGACTTGTTTTATGCAAATGTCAAGGACTTATTTTGGGAAATCAGATCAAAATCTTGTTTTTTTTTTCTGCTTGGAATAGAAACCCCTTTATAATAGTCACCCTGCATTAAAACAAACTGAAAGCAGATGGACAGCTGAAGCAGAGCTGAGAAAGCCCTGCAAGCTTGTTTTGAGGCAATAGGCTGGGATGTGCTGTCAGACGCAAAAAGAGGACATCAATACAATGATTGAGATAGTCACTGACTACATTAACCTCTGTGTAGATAACACTGTCCCCAACAGAACAGTAAAATGCTTCCACAACAATAATCCCTAGATCACCAGTGATCTAAAGCAACTACTAAACAAGAAAAAAAGAGCCTTCAGGGAGGAAGATGAGATAACGCAAGGAGAATTTCAGGAAGAGACTGGAAAGCAAGCTCTAGGACCATATCACTGATATGATGATAACTGGCTTCATGCAAAAGTAGGATCAGACGAATGGAAGTCTGGACAAAGCCAATGAACTGAATACATTATTAAATAGGTTTGGTTCAGGCAAATGTCAAATAGACATTCTGCCCTCCCTTGATACAAATTTTCTATTTAACACCTCAAATTTTTCATCTTCCACATCTGCCATGGAACCGATCAGAAGATGCGGCTGGACCCTCTGCCTTTCACCTATCAGTAGTTCTCTAGATGGTGTCAGCAGATAACAAAATAAAAAAGATGGAGCCGCAGACTAGTCGTAGCTCCCAGACTGATTTATTTAAACGGAGCGGTGGGGGTGGTGGGTATTACTGTAGGTTTGGGTGGTGAATAAACCAAATTGGGAGCTTATGTGTGGACCCATCCTTTTCATTTTGTTATCTGCTATATTTTTGTGGTGCAGCATCTATAGACAGACCCATTTCATCTGCAAAAATACTTGGACGATTCTGAAATCTTTGGATGCATTAGACATGTGCAAGACGCTGAGTACAGGCAGCAGGTAAACCACTTTGTGGATTGGTGTGGAAGCAATCATCTAATACTGAATGTGAAAAAAAGGAGATGATTGTAGATTTCAGAAGACACAAGAACAAATGGAATCCCATCAACATCGATTGGGGGTCGGAGTGTACTATAAATATCTTGGTGTTCACCTGGACACCGACAACTGTAAAGTCGTCTATAAGAAGGGACAGAGCAGACTGTAAGGAAGTTTTAGATGTTTGCTGCAAGAGGCAGATGATCTCCTCTTAGTCTGTTGTGGAGAGTTTGATCTCTTCTGCCATCATCGCTCAAGGTAACATCATCAGAGCAAATTACTTCAAGAAGCTTGACAAGCTGAAAGAGGCCAGCTCTGTGCTCCTCTAGAACCTCAAGATATGATTTTACAAAGAGTTCTTCAGATAAACAACATTATAGACAGCACAGTACCTGCAGTAAAATGTAGGGTTTCTTATACAAATATTGTTTATGTGGATGAAGAAGTAATGGTAGAAGGTTTCTGAATAAGCCATACACAATTCAAGATTTAAAACCTAAAGAAGCACTATTCTGGTATTGTAGAAAGGAGAAAATAAGCCCCATAGAAGGGTGAAACCTCTTCTGATGATGCATACAGCTTTGCTCTTCCAAATGGGAGATTGGCTCTCAAAGCAGATAAACCCCAGAGATGATCAAACTTACATTTTCCAAAATTCAGACTACAGCAGAAAACTCATGGATGAGTTTTATTTCTTTTTTTTTTTTTGCTCAAAGATAACCTTAACTTTTCTAACTCCTTTCTCATTCCAGCTTTATCTGACAGCCAGTCCAACTTCCTTCTGAATGGGAACTTTGTGGTGGCGATGTTCAAAAGGGAAATCACCTTTAAGGGAACAGTCATTGAGTACAGCGGCTCAGATACAAAAGTTGAGCGTATTAATTGCACAGACCGCATTGAGGATGAGCTCATTTTACAGGTAATAATATTTTTGCATGGCTCCTAGATTTACCAAAGCAGTCTTATTAGAATCTTCTTTTTAATATTTACCTCTGCACAATGTTTCCTTTGTTGTTACAAACTTAGTTTAATCCCTCCGTTTAAAGATATTATGTCTCAGTGTGGACCCCATTGTTTCAACAGGTCCTGTGTGTGGGAAACCTTTACAACCCAGATGTGCATTACTCCTTCAACATTCCCATAGAGGAGAAAAGGGAGCAGTTTGTGTGGGATTCCTCAGGCGCTTGGCTTGAATGCAGTCGCCTGTGTCAGGGTAAGACCTTGGCTCAGCTTTGAAGGCTCCTCAGCTAAGAAAAGAGGAATTCCATTTATTCTATCTATTCTATAAGTAGTATAGATGAAAATAATAATAATAATAAATAGGGATGCACGATATAATCGGCCCCCTATCGGTATCGTCCTTAAAACTGAATATCGGACATCGGCCGATATTTAACCCGATATTTGATCAGCTTCTGAGTTTCTAAAGTCTAAAAAAAATAAAATAAATACTACTTCTCCTTCTTCCTCAAAAACTTCTTTTTTACAGACTTAAAAACTTCCAAAGACGAGGGAAAAAATATTGATACATTAAAATATCACAATATCTTCATATGCTGATATATTGCCATTTAAAAACACCATATCAATCTCTTTTACCAATGAAATATTGCTATATGTCATCGTTATGCTACGAAATGCCCCGAAAATTCAAAAAATTTTGCCATATTTTATATGTTGATATATTGATGCGGTATCAAGCTATTTTACTTACAAAATCTCACAAGAATTTGCAAATTTATCACAAGAGTTTGTAACAGAAAAATGAAATTTAACGAGATTTTGAAAGTAAAATATATCAATACCGCGTTTTTAAAAATCGATTTGATATCAGCATATGAAAATATATTTGAGTATATTATTTTTCAAAGTGTCAGAAATGGATAACAAAACTGCTATTTTCAATGACTACTTATTTTTGTCCAGCTTTAACATCGGTATCGATATCGGTTATCGGCTACATGAGTTTTAAAATATTGGCATATCGGATATCGGCCAAAATCACAATATCGTGCATCCCTAATAATAAAGCTTTATTTATCTCACATTGGAGAAATTTAACCTCCAATTACCAGCGGGAGGTCAGACCCAGCGTTTTTTGTCAATGGGAAGAAAGCCAAATGCCGGTTTTTAGCAGGTCAACCCATGTTTGAAAAACCAGGGTTAACCTGCTTATTTCAGTGGGAAAGAGGTTTATGACTTTCCAGTAGGATAACTCTGCATTTTACCCCTGTCAGATCTGGCCACCTTTTCTGTACCTGCTAGAAACAGGCCTCCCCACAACATTAGCCCAATGTTTCATGATGTTAATGTCTGTTCAAGGTACCACAAAAAGTGTTAGGTGTAAAACTGTCGAGCACCATGTAGCCATTTAGACACCAATTTCATTTAGGTGCAAATCTAGTAGGCACATTTTGTGGGTTCTTGTTCAAAAAGTCTAGAGTATGGTTACAAGATGCCCTCTATTGCCACTCTTCATTTTTTATTCTCTGTTCAGGTGAAAGACGACGGAAGACAGTTTGTGTTCGGAAGAGTGATCACCTTGAAGTGTCGGACCAACGCTGTGAGCATTTACCTCATCCAGTTGCTGTTACTGAGCCATGCAACTCTGACTGTGAAGTCAGGTAGGAATTAGGGGAAACAACTCAAAATTTAATCAACATGTACACCCACAAAGAAGTCCGACAGGTACTTTCAAACTTACAACCATTCTTTTTAACCTTTCTTTTCTCTCAGATGGCATGTCACTGGAAAGAGTGAGTGTTCAGCTAAATGTGGCCCTGGCTACCGCAGCCTTGATGTTCAGTGTATGAAGTATAGCCAGATGAAGAGAATGAATGAGAGGATGGAGGCTGGCGTCTGTGCAGACATTACAAAACCTCAGACGAGAGAGATTTGCCACGGGGATTGTCTGCTTAAGAGCTGGCAGTACAGCGCCTGGTCACAGGTAATCTTTGCAGAAAAAATTGTATCTAGATAAGACACAAAGCTACAGTATGGCCTCACTGCAGAAGATCCATTAAAATAACCTTCCTTTTCAGTGTTCTAAAACCTGTGGACGTGGGATCCGCCACAGAGAGTCTTACTGCATGAACAACCTGGGACGGCGATTGGTAGAAAGAGAGTGCAGTGAAAACGAGAGGGTGGTAACCGAGCCCTGCAACGACCAGCCGTGTCCAAAATGGACTGTCAGTGAGTGGAGCGAGGTGAGCCCTCACAAATACACGCTAAAAACATTCATCATTTTTGTGGGGGGTTTGTAGTGCTCCATTTGCAGTGAGTAAAACTCTTTAAATCCCTAAAAACCATCAGTGTCTGGTGACCTGCGGGAAAGGAATGAAGCACAGACAAGTCTACTGCACCACGGAAGCTGGGGAGAAAAAGCTAAGCGAACATTTCTGCGACCCGTCCAGTAAACCATCCACCGTGGGGAGCTGCGAACTCCCCGGGTGCGCAACATGGCAGGTCGGCATCTGGGGAGCGGTGAGTTCAACAATCATACACTCATTAATACAACTTTCTCTGGAAGAAATGCCTACAGTGCCTAAGGTGACCTTTATGAAAAATACACGTAGTAATAGATGCTTTCTGAAAATTAAGGGTTTTTTCAGTTGAAATTTAGCAAGTCTTTCCCTTTACATTCTATAATTTTTAGCACGAAAAAAAATCATTTTGGAACTTACCAGGCATTTTCCTGGAGTCTTTTCCCTTTATCAGGTATGTCACAACAACAAGAATAGAACATCAAGAATAGACAATCGCTCTTTCTTATTACTTTACCAGAAACTACCAGGTATATTGCTAGTTTTTTTCGTAATACATTCTAGTAACTTAGACAGTAATTGCAGAATGTCTGAGAATTTCCCGGAAAGGAACCTTTAATTTGTGGAAGGCGACTTTAAGAGTTCAGTCTTTAATGCTGGAGACCTCGGTTCTGATCCTGCTTGTGTTACGGTTGACATCTGGTGCAAAAACTTTGGCAAGTCCTAAAAACTCACTGTGGTAACCCCTGAATATGGCAACAGCTGAAAGGACACAAACAAACCTTAAAGTCTCAGAAAGTCGTTTTTTTTTTTTCAGAATAAACCTTTAATAAACAGTATTACTTAATTTTTTCGCCATTTAAAATTACTGCTTCTTTTAATTTATCGACTGACTTCTACGTCATCTGATAGATAAACTCCATATACCCCCTCTGCAATTCTAACGTCCATTTTCTAAGAGATTCTTCTAATTCTGTTGGAAATACTGAAATAACATTCTCTCACACATGCAGCACCAGGTTCTCTTTTTTCGCTCTTGTCATTCATATGTTTAACTCTCAAACTTTGGATTTAACTCTATTTAGCCAACTCAGAAAATATTTCTTTGCAATTCATTCACTAGTTTATATGTGTATGTGTTATTCAGCTTTACATGTTTATGTAAAGTAAAATAGCCATATTTTTAGAGCTGGAGGATATCTACCCGTCTTTGCTTGTTTGATTGTAATTTACTGGTCAAATAAACCAATCCCAGCACTTCCTCTACTCTTGTGGTATTTCCAGACGTAATTGAGTGGTATGTGAAGTAACAATTAGGTGAAGAGTCAGGTTGATTCTGTGTGTAAATGTATGTGTCTGTATATAACGGGATGTCAGAGTCCTAATCAGCCTCCCTTTTACAGGCCTTGACTGAGCTAATGTCTAAAATATTGACCTCAAAAAACAAACCGGCTTTAAATAGCTGTTTTATTATTTCTGTTTATGTTTATGTCTGTATGTGTGTGGCTTTGTCTTTCAGTGTGCGGTGACCTGTGGACACGGATACCAGATGAGGGCTGTGAGATGTGTCCAAGGGGACTATGGTGACAGAGTGGATGACAGAGAGTGCAACGCTGCAGCGAGGCCCAGAGACACTCAGGTAGGATTAGAAAAATGTACTTAAAAAAAAAAAAGACAGATAATTTAATTGGACCAAGCAAATAATTCTGCTTACACTCCATAAATCTTTGCAGATATAAAATGATATATTGTATTTTAAGAGATATGATGCACCTCATTGTGTTAAAAAAAAAAAGATTGTATCTCAATCATACAAAGATTTTATATATATATGTATATATATGTATATTTATTTATTTGTGTAATTCTTATCTCCAGTGAAGATAAATATATTTTTGCCTTTTTACTGACACAAAATATTGCATATTTTCCTTATTTTGCAAACAAAATACATTTTCATACCCATTAGTGTTTTGAGCTGGTACAAAATAATGTCTTGATAATACTTTGTAACATTTTTGTTCTGCGTGTATATTATGTAGCAAAAATAATCTAGATAAAAATTTGCTTATTTTAAAAATAATTCAATAGCCTGATAAACCAGACTAAATGTGAGATTAAATGTGTAATTTAGTCTGGCCCTGATGAATGAGACATCAGAAGATTGTTGATGATAACAACCCGTTCTTTTTCAAACTGTGTCTGTGCCTATTGGCCAACGCTCTGACCAATGAGCACAACTGACTGTGACGTAGGAAGCGCGACAGAAAGCTGGTGGGGGAGTGTAAACAAACAGCCTGTCAGTAAAACGGTGAATACGTCCTTCTTCAAAATGAATGAACGTAGAGCCTCTTCCTGATCATGTTTCAACAGAAATCCCAAGTCTAATCCTTCCAAAACTGATTCCAAAGCTGAGTCAAATGAGAACTGTTCAATAGTTGTTGCCATCTTCCGTGTTGTGCTTTCTCCAGCGTCACGCAGCTTAGTCATCACACCCTCAAAACCCCGCCCACTTTGCATCCAAATATCTAAAACACATGTTTGCATTGTGATTGGCCTGCCAGTTCTAGGGCCTGGGGCATTAATCGAGGTTAGACCACTTGCAGGTAAAAATGATTTTGGCCGCTGGCGGGTGGGGCTAGTTTACTAGGCTAGTAATTCAATGCAATGCTTAAGTCTGTTAGTACAATACTTAAGTTTACCTAAGAAGCAGTTTTGATTTTTTAAGAAGTAATTGTTAACATGTTTTATAGGACTGTGAGATGCCTGCGTGTCCACGAGCCTCAGGACCTCAAATTACACCTCGGCCTGATAACTCTGTTCAGCTTGTGACTGAGTGGAGATATGGCTCCTGGACGGCGGTAAGAACTTTCTAGTTTGATGCTTTTTTGTACTTTTTTTTCTCTAACTGGTGAATGGGTAGGTAGATAAAATAATTTATTTGGCAAAAACAACAGATTATTGGTGATTATTCAAATATTGACATAATTTTGCAAGTATGCAGACAATATAATTTACCTGTTTCTGAAGCAATAACCCACTTAGAGCAGCAATTAAGCCAGAAGGGTGCCAAAATGTTACACATTTATAGAGCAGACCATACAAAAGTTTTTGTATTTTGGGGATCTTACTGTTTTTTCAGGTACAATGTGTTCTACATTGCTGTTATTTTTTTCTTTTCTTTCGCAGCATTGTATTTTTATAGCCCCTATTTGATTTTCAGGGTTACGTGCTGAAAAATATGAATCCAGACACACATAGGCTTCTGGCTCTGGATTTAGAGGCCCCTCAATCTTCCTGATAGTTTGCATTGTTACATAAATGAGATGCAGATACAGTTTCAACATCACCATACTGTTTCTACAGTTTAACCCTCTCTGTTAGTCAGAAAGCTCACATGAGTCTACATACTAAAGAGGATTTTCCCAATTTGGTATGTCTTTCAGACACACACAGATGGATGCTCTTGTATGCAACATGCATTCATTCTTGCATGATACATTAAGGTGTATATCCTATTCTATCTCAAATAGGTACCGAGATAAAGAGAGGTTGACTATCATACATATAGGGGCTCCTTAATACAAGTACAAATTCAAGTTAATTCTGGCTAAGGAAGACTGATGGTTTGAGAGAGGGGTTAAGGAAGTCATCTTTGTTAACCTAGAAAAACCATCTCTCAGCAGAGGAGATGCTCTTAGACATAACCTTTCACCTACTGTACTTACAAAGCATTTTTAGGAACAATACTCAAAAGATTCACACCTCATCTGACTTACACTTCAATGAGACATGACCGAAACCACTAGGGCTGAAACAATTAACAGGATTTATCGTGATTAATTGATTATTGAAATAATCGTCAACTAATTTAGTAATTGATTAATTGGTAAATGGAGTATAGAGACTCTAAAACATGCCTTTAGCTGACAGAGCAACCAACTTAGAACAGTTATTATACCAAAATTGTAAAAAAAATCTGTTAACCTTTTGGATTTAAGATTTTTAAAAAATATTTCGTCTGTCAATATGCTCTATCCAGAACACCTCAAGTGGAAAAGTTAGCGTGTAGGATTAAACTTTTTTATCAAATCCCACTCATACATTTATTGGTCGCCGCCATGTTAAACCTCTTTATTTTGCAATTGGAACCGTTTGAAATATTTTTGTAACGCCCATGTGGCATCATTATTATTTTAAATTCCACTAGCAAACTTAGAAGCTTCCTATTTCCTTCCGTTCCCCCAGTGAATCTGATTTTCTGTGTTCCTTTAATGAGGGTAACTCAGAGTAAAGTCAGCTGACTGATATCTCCAAATATCCTAAATGTTATAATAATATACCAATATTTAAAAGAAATATCATATGTTGAATGGTCGACTCAGGAAAACTACTCTCTAGTTAGAATAGGGTAATTCCTGGAACAGGCTTTGTCGTGAATTGCTTGTTTTTGATCATAATAAATAAAGCAGGAAAACAAAGAAAATAATAAAAAATAAAAACTAAAGGAATTTTGATCAAATGAAAGGACACTGCAAGCCTGGACTCCTGAAAGCATCAACTGCGAACTGTCTGAACGTGGCAAGAATAAAAACAAAACTATCCAGAAGCCCAAGCTGAAAACACACAGCTGGATGCCTGGAATTGGAAAATCACCAAGGGAGTTACTGCTTATAGAAATGCAGGCATCAGTGTTTATAAATTGAAACTTGAGGTTTTGCAGTACTTAGTTAAACTGACACAGAGAAAAGTATGAAAATATAAAATGCATTTGGGTAAAACCACACACTCCTATTCCTGTTGATTATATTCAAAGTAGCATTTTTTTTTTCTGTTTTCATGATACATCTACATAGTCCATAGTTTACCAGAGACCTGTTCTAAATCTGGAGGATTTACAGAGACCCACAGCTTAGCTAAATTTGATAGATTGGAGCAACGTAAAAATCTGACCTTTATGAATAACAAAAGATAGAAGCCAATGTTAAAGAAAAGCAAATACAAATTCTGTTTGCTAGAGTTTGCCCCGGTCAGGTGAGACTACAAAGGTAAAGCACGGTGTTGGCAGCATCATCCTGACTGGGGATCCATTGGAAAGCTTAGATGAAATCCTGATCATATCTTGGAATAGCTCTGTCAAAGTCGAGATTCTAGTCCATTTTAAGAATCCGTGGCCACATTTGAAACATGTTGTCCAACATTGTCTAACTCTCCAATTTGGCAAAAGCTGCTGATGACATTTGCAGAATAAAATATACAATAAATATGTTTCTTGGAAATAAACATCTCCCTTGTGAATTTAGCTGACCACAAATGCACTTATAGAACGTTTATTAAGTATTTGATAGGATCTTTTAGAACTGGAGGTTGTGTTTATCATTTTGGTGGGATGATAGTGCAATTTAGTTATCCATATTGAAACTTTTAAGTGACATAAATTCAAAATAATCAATTTTTAATAGAAAATTATGTTTTTCTGCTTGCACTGGATCATTAAGTATGTGCCTTTTCTGTCCAATAACTTCTTATCTTTTTTATTTCTTTATAGTGCTCGGTGTCCTGTGGCAAGGGGAAGCGCGCACGTTATGTCAGTTGTAGAGACCATCAGGGAGGAGTGGCTGATGAATCGTACTGCGTTCACTTACCCCGCCCACCGGAGTTCTCCACCTGCTTCAGCCCCTGTGGCCAGTGGCATGTCAGGGAGTGGTCTGCTGTAAGTAAAACATCTGAAGCGTACCAGTTTGATAAGCACAGGAATCACATGGTTTATATTTCAAGTTAAGTCAAAATCATCCTGAGATGATGCCTTGATCTTGGAGACTTTTTTCAATTATCATTATGCATTTTTTAAAATAATTTACAATTGTGTTTTTTTTTATTTCAAGACTTGTGATCATACAGTATGAGAAATTCCCTGTTAAATAAGCTTTTAAATCCAAAGTTAGGGAAAACTCCCAGTTGTATTACCGCAAATTGAATATACCACAATAGTTCTTTTACTTTTTTTGTCTTTTTAAAATTTACGATTTTTCACAGTTTCAGGCACAGATTTTCACATGAAAGAAGCTGTTCAAGGGAATAATTAAAAGTCAAACTCTTTTAACATTGGGGAAATTATAGATGACAGAATATCTGTTTAGAAAAACGATAGTAAATAATTAATGAAAAACAATCCTAGTAGAATAGATCAAATAATGCTCAGCAGGAATTCAATCCCCAAATAAATTTTGTCCACAAACTGAGCATTCAAATGCCTGATGGTGACCAACAAATAGTGGAAAAAGTAAAACTGACATAGTTGATGTTGATATAGATTTCTTTAGATGTCCTATCGCTCTCTCCAAATTATTAAACAATACAACTGAAATGTTTTATCTCCAAAATCATTCCAAGTCTGCTTAAACAGAAAGATCAACAAGGCTTGGAAAGCTGCTTTAATCTGACAGCACTTCACACTTACATAGCTTCTATATTTGTTTCTATATTGTAGAAATACCTGTCTAAACACATACATGTGTCATAATTGGTTTAAGCGATCTGACCCACATGCAGAGAACCACTCAGAGACTAAGGGAAAAAGTTTAACAGGTTTATTGAATGTTCATGAAACACAAAAGTAGGAGGCAGAACTCAGTGGCCTGGTGAACCGGAACCGGAAAGTCTGAAGGAGAGGTTACAGTGATCAGTTCAGGGACCGTAGGAAAGTTGACTGAGGCTTTAGGGAATTAATCCAGAGGAGAGGGAACTCGTTGGAGAGCGGACAGGTAGAAATACGTTGGACCCAGAGGAGTAAAGGAGTGGACTTTCACTTGGTTTTCCAATGAGGACTTGAACAGATCATGTGGAGCTTAACCCCTGCTCAGTGTGTACTCAGTAATCCTTCCGGGGGGAGAAGGTCCAGGTTATCCAGTTACACAGGAAAAGGCTTCCTGCCGAAGAGCAAAGACAAAAACAAGATTAGACTCAGAGAAACAAAGCTTCGGTTAGACTCTGCTAATCTCAGCTTGGCTGGAATACCCAAAACTGGCAAACACTCTGGCATCGAGGTAGAGACAGCCCGCTGCTCAAATGCTCCTCCGGTAATGATCCAATGAGCCGCAGGTGTGCAGGGAGGCCCAACGAGGAACAGGGCACCACCTGGTGGTTGAGAGAGAAAAACACAAAAACAGCCCACACAAACTGGATTCCAAACAACATGGAAAATCTTAAAAACATGTCATCTCTCTTTTGCTGTGTACTTTAGGTAGAGCAGTTTGCTGAAATTAGCAAATGCCATCATCTTTATATACTGTTGTTACGACTTGTTGGTAATTGGACTCTTAACATAGTGTATTTCAGTATGGTTCTAATTAATTACAGGCTGTCCAGACAGAAAAAATCTACAATCAGTGCAGGATTATTTTGTCGTTCTACAGAATCTAGAGGCAAGTAGAAATGCAAAAAAAAATAATAATAAATAAATAATTCAGTTATTTGCTCAAAGAAGAAATGTTGTATACTGAAAAAAGCAATTTGACATGTGACTAAGGTAAAATTATTACTTGTTACATTTTGGCTAGATCTTCTTATGCACTTTTGAAATAAATGGTTAAAAAAGTACTTTTTTGATATTTGGCAATCTCTTCCTTTTCCCTCATCCAGTGTTCAGTTACATGTGGTGTTGGAAGGGCAACCAGACAAGTGGTCTGCTCCAACTACCACCAGCCAGTGGACCAGTCTTTCTGTGACCCAGATGAGAGGCCTGCAGCTGAGCAGGAGTGCACCACTGCTCCGTGCCCATCCACCTACAACCATCAGCACATTTATGAGCAGCCATATGGATATCCTCATGATCCAGGACATCACCCGGGACACAGTAGCTGGAACGTCCCGTCAGCAGACAACCAGTGGAGGACTGGACCATGGGGCGCAGTATGTTCAGCATACATAGCATGTTTTAGACAACAGCAGTGAGGAAAATATTTTTTACCTGTACTTTGACTGTACAACTATATGATTTTGCTCTATTATTTTGTAAGTCAAGATAATCTTTGAGGTTTTTTTGGGGAGGAAGCAGATGTTTTAGGGGTTTTGATCTCTCGGAGCTGAAGGCCATACAGGGTAAAAGACTATTAGACACAGATCCTTTTTATTGTATATTGTGTGTTCTGACGATGAGCATGTTGTAAAATAAAAATCTAGATTACTAAAAAGAAAATCTGAAAGATTTTAGAACAATTGTAAATCCTAAGGTCCAATGAAGCTGCAGAACGTTCAACTTTGATCAAGTTAAAGGGTTATGTTTTGTAATCTAATATGAGTTAATTTAATTTCACTTTTTATATTAATTTTATTCCATGTTGCTAGTCCCATATTAAATAAACCCTCCCGATACCCTGCTCAGGCTAGTTTAGGAGGAAAAACTTGAAGTTTGTGCTGTCCTCCCCCACATGCAGATAGTACTGAGTGTTCTGCCTCCCGTCCACAGAGGGGATTCATCACTATAATTTGATTCAGAGCCTTCCAATTACCAATGTCAAGGCAAAAATGTTCCCTGACTTTTTTTGGAAAATGTTGCAAATGCAAAAAAAGACGCTGTTTTGTTTATAGTTATATCCTCTTGGTGGTGATGGAAGCACTTTGTCATGTGTTAATGTGTTAATGGTTAAGATTTTGGAAAATATCTTAATGGTATAATTCCATCATTGGATGAAAAAAAAACTTTTGGCCATTTTACTGTTATTTAATCCTGACTGATTCGGGAGAAAATATCAATATTAAATATTATAATATATTTTTAAAACATGAATATAAAACTATAAATCTTACTGCAATGGTTTCTTTTTATTTCGGCTTCGTCATACCACCCCATTAGATCAGGCCTTGATCAGCAAGAGTACAGCTCTGTGTGTTTTCTGGTTGTGATTTCACATCTAAATAAGGAGAAACCCTTATAGAGTCATTTTAAATGCTTTAAAGGGTTTAAATACAATAATTTTTGCAGACCATCATCAACATATTATTATCTGATGATATTGGTGGGTTAACTTCAGCTCCCTTCATCACACATAGAAGAACACAGAGAGAACAGAGAAACTGATCATAAAATAGGATTTAAATATAGGGCAATCCATGAAAAGAGAATCTGTAAAAGATGTGAGATGAAGGTAGAAGTTCAACAGCTCTAAAAATGTAGCCTGTGCTGCAGAAAACATTTCAGATCAATGGCCCATTCAAAGTCTCGGGCAGCTGTACTCCTATTTAGAACCTGTGGTGATTCTTTAAAAGTTAAGGCTGTCATATGCACCCCACCCCACCCCCCTATAATAACTAGTTTTATGTTACGTAGCAAAGAACAACTGGATAAACTGTCAGTCTTTAGGATTTCTACAGATATTAGCAGAATTAAGTTGTAATTGCAGACTTAGCAGGTATAAATTAGAGCTGAAACTATTAATCAGATTAAGCAGATTATTCGGGATTAATTGATTATTGAAATAATCGACAACTCATTTAGTAATAAATTAATCGTTAACTGGAATATTGAAAGTCCAAAACATGCCTTTAGCTGACAGAGCAACCCACTTAAAGCAGTAATTATATCAAAATTGTAAATAGATATATAAACATTTTGCATTTTGATTTTTTTTTATTTCATCTGTCAATCTAGAACTCCTTGAGTGGAATCGTTTTAGTTTTCCCCTGGTTTTAATTTCATAAAAAATCTTTTTTAAGGAACCTTTTGCTCTCCGAATGTTAATTGGGAAAAATAATCAACAGATTAATCAATTTGTGAAAATAATCGTTAGTTGCAGCCCTAGTATAAATTCAAATGAATACAAATGTGTTGAGATATCTATTAGGAAAAAAAAAAGGTAAAACTATTAAAATCTTTCTTTTAGCTTATATGTTGATGTGTTGGTCTATAACACACATTCCTAATATAATAAATTCAAGTTTTTGGTTTTATCTTGGCAAACTGTGGAAAAATGTAATTCTTTTATATGGCTCCATACATGAAGTAGCTGAAAATATATGTATGCATAATTCAATTATTTTTTTTTTTGTATAAAATAATTTTTCAGTAAAAAACTGAAAAAAAAGCAGGATTATTCTATGTAGTATGATGGTATCCCAAAGGGATTTACTTCAACCCAAATTAATATAAATAATGTTCACAGGCTTTGTATTTTTATTTTCAGTGTTCCAGTACCTGTGCAGGAGGTTTTCAGAGGCGGGTGGTGGTCTGTCAAGATGCGGATGGACGCAGCAGCAGTTACTGTGATGAACGAGTCAAACCTGCAGAGACCAAAAGCTGCGACTCTGGGCCCTGCCCTGTGTGGAACTATGGGGTCTGGGGAGAGGTGGGATGATTTTCTGACTTTGTTGTACTTTTTTCATCCCGTTTAAGACTGTTTTCCTTGTGCCTGACTTTTTAAAAGGAAAATATTTATTGTTATCATTGAAAGGCTTTCAAAGACTCCAGGGCTTATAAATTAATTTGTGTGTGCACATAACAGACATCAACAGGCAAAATTTAAATTACAATGTTAAAAGAAACAAAAGCAACTAATAGCAAAAAATACCCATAAACTGAAACAGTTGAGAAAATAACATACATGATAAGGCAATATGTTACTAGAGCATCAGGTAACTAGAGAATATTTAAAGACCAGGAAGAATAAGTAAAAATAATAAAGGATAATTGGTTATGGGTGTACTTGTTATGGTTGAGCAACAACATGCTGGCCTCACAAAACGGATAAAAGTTGGGTAAAGGGAGTAAATGTTTTTACTGGTTACAAAGTTTAAAAATCTCTGCTAAAGGTCTGATCTTTGAAAAGGGTTTGCATACATACAAACATGTGTAAGCTTGCAGGTGCAAGGCATCTTGCATGTGTAAAATAAACAGAACGACAGAAGGAAATTTTGGTTGGGTGTGTAGCATGAAGATGCAGATCACATGCCTGTAACCAAAACTCTGTTTATTAATCCAGAAACTTACTGTGGGCATGTTTTTGTCTTGAATATCCCTCCTATGTTCCTTACTGTTGGTTTTTCATCGCAATTAGGTAAGTATTTCTGTGATAGCTGGTTTTATGACTAATGCTATTGCAAGTTTATGTTAATAAAGTTGTATTGTTCCAAAAAAAGTTATAAAACAAACCACTGGACTTTGTTTTGAAGAGGTTTCGCTTCCCATCTAAAAAGCTTTCTCAATTAAAAATGTCTGAAGTAGCGTTTAAGGTGTAGGCTTATAGAGTAGTCGAAACAAAATCCTTGTTATAGTTTAGAAAACAAGCAAATTGGACCAAAAAAACAGGTCCACCTCTTAGTATTCGGGAGTCGTTGAGGACGTTGTTGGCCTCCAAAACCCAATACTGCCTCTGAAAAGGGAGTCGTTAGGGTCATTGTTGGCCTGGCTAAACAGGCGAGTTGTTTTGATCCCCTGCATGATGAAGAACATTGCGTTATGTGTTTTCGAGAGCTGAGTCCACCCCCTCTGTTTAAGTTGTTTTTTCTCTCTAAACATAAATGGCTTCCTTCACTCCCCTTTCAAACCACCTGTCTACTTTGCCCATCAAAGCATCAAACATCTTGCCTGTTTAACCAGGCCAACAACGACCCTAACAACTCCCCATTACTGAGGGGTGGACCTATTTTTTGGTTCAATTTGCATGTTTTCTAAGCCATAACAAGGCTTCTGTTTGGGCTACTCTATAAACCTAGAGCTCCACATTACTCCAGACATTTTGAATCGAGAAAGCTTTCTGGATGGGAAGGGAAACATCTCGAAACTTGAAAAAAAAATCTAGTGGTTTGTTTTTTAAGTGTTTTGGAACAACTAGGACCTGGATGACTGAGAATCCTCACCAGAAAAGTTGTATTGTTTAAATAAAACTTAAAGACAGCTTGACCACATTGGAACAACAATGGTCCTACTTCTCATAATCATTTCAGACCTATAGTCCTTGCAGCATCAGAAAATTTATGTTTTCTCTGCTGTTTTTCTCAGTGCACACAGACTTGTGGTGGAGGTAGGAAGACTCGCTTAGTGGTGTGTCAAAGGCCCAGTGGACAGAGGCTCAATGACTACAACTGTGACATCCTGGAAAAGCCGCCCGACACGGAGCAGTGCAACCTGCAGTCCTGCCCAGGCTCTGCGTCCTGGCATCGCCAACCATGGAAGCCGGTACGATAGTACTAATTTCCCTTCAACACTTACTTTCCTCGATAAGGGGGCATGACTGTGAAAAGAGATTGTGTATTATGATATGACTTCAGGCAGAAAACTGTAGGAGTTCCTGAAGTAAATGCCGGGTATCAAGCTTCACTGTTTACTAGCCAATTTCAGCCCACCCAGATGGGCCCCTCAGTGGCATGGTGCTGATTAGAATGCAAAGAAAGCAACAATGTGGCTCCACCTAGAGAGTCATTAAAAGCACATGGAATCCATTTGGACTCCTCAAATTAAAACCTGTAAATCAGGACAGCCAAGTCCAGCAGTGTCTTAGATTTATAAAGGCATGCTTGTGGGAAGTATTTATTTCGTATATTAGGCGTGAAGAAAATTATCTCTGCTGTTATAGCTCTCTTCACCCTGTATCTGCAATACACAACTGTATATTTGTGTATAAGAGTTAATATTATGGTCTTTATTGAACAGCAAAAAAGGCCTTTAAATTTTTTTTTTTTGTATGCATCTTTGTACAGTTTGATTCTTTTTTTTTTCTAAGAGCTAATTTTTGTAACAGAATATTTAATACTTCAATGGTGCTCCTGGTCAGACCTCTTGTACCTTAATATGGGTAAATTCAATTTGTACAGTAGAACATATTTTTCATTCCTGTTTCTATTTTTTTTTTTTTTTTGTTAATACTCTCAATTAAATTGAATTTAAAAAAAATCAATTCCGTTGATGATCTGGAAAATCTTAATATCACAGTAATAAAAAAAGTTGAAATATTATCTTAGAAATTATATAAAGTTATGTGAAATTACAATTAAATATAACATTATTTGGAAAAAAAAGATGATAGTACATGATTTTAGTTATTGTTAAGAATTTATGCTCTCTGGCATATGCAAACCTCTGAGTTTGATAGACGGTGCCTTTGTAATCATTACCTCATCCCCCCTTAGAAAAACATATTAAGAAAGGTAGATTTATTTTTATTGCAGTAGCATAATACACAAATCATTAAAAAACAGCAGACACGTCCTGGTGGGGGAACACATCCCCATTGAACAGACAATTGGCTGTTCATCATCAGCACTATTGTAATGATTTTATGGGAATGGCAAAACTGCAGGTCATTATAGGCTTGTAAGAAATGGATAAATGTCAGGAGAATCTTCTAAGGACCATTGTTAGGAGAGTTGGAGAATCAAATGGAAATATTTGACATGGGTAACAAAGACACTTTCCTGCGGTGCATTAGAAAGTCAGCTCAAGACTGTCATGATCGGTTTACGAATTTGACCCACATGCAGATAAACCACTTAGAGAACAAGGGAAAAGTTTAACAGGTTTATTAAGGGGGTAAAACAGGAGTAGGATCTGGAACTCAGTGAGCTGGTAACCCGGAACTGGAAGTGAGAAAGGAAGTTCAGTGGTCAGTTCAGGTACCGTGGGAATCTTGGAAGCACATAGATTTTGCAAGGATGGGACTCACGTTTGAGGGGGGCCCTGTGAGTCCTTGAATTCAGATTGTGTGGTTAATCCAGAGAATAGTGCACATGTTGGAGGGCGGACAGGTTGACAGGTGTTGGACCCGAAGGAGTAATGGAGCGGACTGTCTCTCGGATTTCCGATGGGTACTTGAACGGAACATGTGGAGGTTTTCCCCTGCTCAGTGTAACTCGGTTTTTCCTTCCAGGGGAGAGAAGGTCCAGGAATCCAGTAACACAGGAAAGCTTTGTGCTGGGGAGCAAAGACGAAAAACTCATTAGACTCAGCTAAACTCAGCTTGGCTAGAGCACCCAAAACCGTCAAACACTCTGGCGTCTAGGTAGTGACATCCCACCGCTCAAATACTACTCCAGATAATGATCCAATGAGCCGCAGGTGTGCAGGGAGGGACAGCGAAGACAGGGCACCTCCTGGTGGTGGAAAAAGGACAGACACAAACAGGCCATACAAACTGGATTCCTAACAAAGACGTCTCTTTGATAAGTGAATGTACACAGGAAAAAAAATCTAAATCTATAAGTAATTTTTCTTAAAATAAATGCAACTTTGTCTTGAATTGAGGAGGTAAGTGAGACACTTTGCCAATAGAACAAGACAATTAACATTTAAAATAAAACAACTACATTGTCGTATATTGAGCGCGTATTATCTAATTATCTTATTTTAAGAGTAAAAATATTAATTCCTTTGGCAGTTCACCTTATTTACCTTCTCAAATTAAGGGTAAATGACAGAAATTACTTTTTTTTTTTTTCGTTTTTACAGTGTAGAGTCAATGGGGGAGGTGGAGCCCCCTAGTGTTGAGTAGCTCCCTGTTGCGGACTGGTCACATGACTTGAATGAAAAATGTTCCAAATAACCTCTTAAACAATCTGCTTGATTTTGATCAATTTACATACATGTATATATCTGTCTGGTAAACTTAATTAGGGTAGAGTTCAAATTAACCTGTGACATCATTCCATTCTTTTTTTGTTTATTGACAAACCAGTGGGTTTTGGAAATACTTCAGCTTTGCAAACTTGGGCTTTTCTTTGGGCCATGGGTAGGAGCAAATGCATTGTTAACATCTGAAAAAGCTTGACTTAGCTACCAGACACTTTCTTTTAGTCATTAACCTACAATTTAATGTAGCTTCAGGTGCAGGTGGAAGAAAGTCTGCACCGTAAATGGTTGGGGTATTTAACCTTCCCAAACAAAACCCATCTATTCAGAGTGAAATGCCATTTTTGTGATGCCTATGAAGGAATATAATTTTTTGCTAAACTTGTTATATTAATTCTGAAAATCTTTTGAGTATCTGCAGGTTTCACGACAAGTGAATGATTTAATTCATGAACCCAGAGAGAAAGAAGTCTAAGCTTAAATTTGCTGCACTCTGGCTTGTCTGGTTATTCATTAACTTGTTTTATTATATGATATGTACCTGTGTATCATTTCAGTACAGCCTAGAAGTTGTCTTAGATTCAGACTTGAAGACAGTTGAATAGTAAAGGCTGCAATTGTGCAGTGACAGTTTTGTTTGAGAAGTTACAATATTCAGACATCATGGGTCCGTTTCATGAAGCAGGTTTACCGAAAACTCTAAGTGTTATAAACCTGAAAACAGGGAAACTCTGACTTTTCCATTTCACAAACAGAGTTTATTCAACCTCTGTTTCAGTCGCCGTAGTAAGAATCTCCCCAGAGCTAAAATGGTCGGGAGCAGGTTTTCTTCATTAAACATAAATGTTCTCTGTGTCCGCTCTCAGACATTCACGTTGATTTATTTCCCAATTTAGTCCAATTTTTGTCGTCGTTTTTTGCATATAAAAAATAGCATATATCATTCACTAGGTCCGTTACATGCATTAGGTTTTAAAGTCGTAGGGAGATCATATTTAAATGTCAAATCATTCTGGCTTAAACATGTGAATAAATGTACTCTTTATCAGACGACATTTCACCGAAATAGATACATTGATCCACTACCAGTCAAGAAATAATCCCGTAATATTATCAAGGTCACAGGCTGTGGCAAGACGTTTTGATATGTACTAGTTACTTACTGAAGTTACTGAAGCTGTATTCCTGATATCTGAAAAAAACATTTTTTCTTTGTCTAAAGGACTATTTCAAAAGGACATTCTCCAAATCTAGAATAAACATTCTGGACATCTAGAAATTAATTTCAGATCTCCACATTCCTAATATTACTGGTCAGCATTTGTATTATTTTCACTATGAAAACACATTTTCAGATATCATAAATGCATTTTCAGTCAAGCTGGTAAATGTCAGAACGGCCATTTAAAATGTTTAAAACATTTCTAGATATATAAAACTTAATTCTTACTAGTATAATTCTGTTTTTTTACTTACTAAAATTCAGTTTCTGCTACAAAAATGTAATTTAGAAAATATATTATTACCGTTCAATCGAGGAGTGTAATTTTGATCAGGAAGAATCTTATTTTAGTGATTTACAAATAGAATAACCAACAGAGAGGAGTGTTTTTCATAAATGTAAAAACGGCCTGCCATAGGCACATCATATAAACTTGTGCGTTAACTCGAGCAGCAATCTTCTTCTTTGCCACCTTCCTCTCCTTTGTAGCTGTAGTGCTGTTTCTCTGTCTTTTAAACACATTCTCCTTTTTCAGTTTATTTCTGCATTAAAATCTCTAGTTCCAGTGGGGTGAAATATGCACTTCCTGTTGTCTGTTGTCATGATGACTGATCGAATCAGTGCTCCATTTATTGATAAAGGCTTTTCATACTTGATGCGCACGTGCTGAACTCTGAGTGGTTCTACTTGGAGTTGATTGAACTAATTCATAGCATCTGTTGTGAAACCAAAAACTTTGAGTTCCCGACTTTAGGCTAAATCAATTTAGAGTTGCGGATTTGAATCTGAATTTGTTAAACCTGCTTCGTGAAACAGACCCCATATCAGTATTTAGATACATCACCTGCTGGATTACCTTGAGAACAAGTAAATGGAAACCACATAGGGAACATGTTTATTGTTCAGAAGATATATACAGTACTGTAAACAGCAAGTTTGGTTAAGTTTGGATATTTGACATATGGATCTGTTTTCCTAATGTTTTGGTTAACAGACTTTGTTTTATATTTGGAGTACCGGTATCCTGAGTAAAATAATATCAAAGCTATATGTATAACAACAACTTGTTTTGCAATATTCACAAATTTTACTGATGAAGGAGGATACGTATCTGCATTATATTAACTCTGACATAATTTCAAGATTAAAAAAATTCAACTTTTTGTGTTAATCTCAGTCTTTAAACCTGAGAATAGCAAGGGGTGGGGCAGGGGTCTTTAATTATGCTACTGCAATAAAAAAAAAAAAAGTTTAATTTAAGGCCTTATGGCTTACCATAGCTATCTTAAGCAAACGTTACACAAATAGTAGCTTTAAAAAATAAGTAGAACTTTTCCTCCTGTCTTAGTTGATCATGTAGGCTGGAAGTTTAAAGTTATGGCTTACATTACCT